GGGGAACATGTAAATCGATTTTTGCTTCAGACCTGGTGTAAATCGATTTACAGGCTTGTGATAATCGACTATCACAGCCTGCAGAAGTTTAGAGCACGGAAGCTGAAGGAGTAAATAATCGATTATCAATATTAAGATAATCGATTATCTGAGCCAGCAGAAGTTTAAGGCAACTCAGGCGCAAACTCCAACAATCGATTTTCCAAGTCATGATAATCGATTATATGGAGCTACAGAACTTTATTTGAAGTCAGGCGCAAGACAATCGATTTACCAAAACATGACAATCGATTATTGAAGCCTGCAGTTTCTTTGGCAGAGAATCTGAAGCCTCAGATAATCGATTTACAGGGAGTGTAAATCGATTATCAACGACGATTTTTTTAAAAATCTGACCGTTGCAGAGACGTTTGGAGAGCAATTAATGCATGTTTTGAACTTCCCAACGGATCTCCAGCCCACTCCACTATATATTGGTGATATCCTTTCATTTTTACTCACTCAAATCACAATTCCTTCATATATTCATCAATATTTCATCCTTCTTGCATCTATTCCTCAGTGTTCTTGCAAAATCCCTGCAAATTTCTCTTTTTTTTCTCTCCCTCTCTCTCTTTGTTGAAATAGCAGGAGGTCAAAGAAAAAGATCCCGCACCGGCAAGAACGTGGCTTCTTCCTCGGCTCCTCCACCATCAACGCACAAATACCTTGACGAGTCGTTTCTCTGGTTCAACGACCGCGAAGAGGGTACAAGGTTCTTAGAGAAGTTTGAGCATCGGGAAATTCTCCCTCCCCGATTCTCCACCGCCCGCTTCATTCATGACTCCATCCCTCGTGAGGCACGGGTTATCCTTGAACAAGGAAACTTCCTCGATCTCCTCTACATCAAGAAGGTCAATTATCAACCTTTTCTTGTTCGAGCTTTCTATTCGAACTTGAAAAAGGATGAGGACAGATCGTTGATTTCAAACGTCAACGGGGTGGACATTTATTTGAATGAAGAGAACATTCAAATCCTCACCGGGCTTCGTCGGGACGGACAGGATCTCGGGCTCTACACCGGAGAAGAGGGGGCGCGGTTCAATGAGACCGCTCTCTTGGAGGAAGTGGGCATCCGTCACTTCGTACCCACTCCCCAACAGCGGCGCCCTACGATTTCTTCCATGAGTCCCGTGTATCGTTTCATCTTCTATGTGTTGACACGGATCCTCAAGCCCAGGAAGTTCAACCACACCAATCTCTCCCAAGAAGACACGAAGACGATCCATGCGATGATTCACAACGCCAATCTCAATTGGTGTAAATTTGTGATGACTCACATGTTCACGGCCACCTCCGACAATCGGCCGCTCCCCTATGCCCTCCTTGTCATGGCAATTCTTGAAGAATACAACATCAAAACCGATGTTGGGCCAAAGGTAAAGGGGACAAAGCACTGGGAGATTGATGAGTCTTCTTTCCACTCGGGCACCGACGAGACTCCGTTTCGACAGCCTCGTCCACGCCGCCAACCGAGAGCCACTGCCTCAGCCGCCACCACATCGACCAATCCTTCTCTCGCCGAGCAAATGGCAGCCTTAAC